ATATATATATATATATATATATATATATATATATATATATATATATATATATATGCTGGTTGTGCGATCAGTAAGAGACATGTTTTCGTTTATTGTTGCAACTGATCTATTATATACAATTAAAAAGATAAAAAAGTATACTGAATTTTCGGTCGCTAACTGCGACCTTCCTCAGAGTTAACTAATGTCAAGTTGATTTGAACAAGTTTTAAATACTTAGCATATGCAAATTTTACAAGGTATGCAACAAAGGCAAATAAGTTTGCGGGAAAATTTTACGCTCATTAACTGCCATTGTCTCCTTTGTTGAGTGTAATGACTCGAGAAATATACGTTTATCATAATTATGTACGCCCCTCTCTAAAATTTCTACATCCCCAGAGCATACTTCGTGTCCAGTTCGTTCTGCATGTTCCTTTATAGCCGACTCGATCTGCCGTCTTGTTCCCGGTTTATGTTCAGCCCAACGGGATTTCCATGATCTTTTACTTTCTCCGATGTAAAGGAAATTACATGTTTTACATTTGAATTTGTAAACAATGCCTTTGACTTGAGTTTCTGATGGTCTGTCTTTCGGTTTTTTGAATATTCCGCCCAATGTTGTTAGTGACTTATACGCTGTTCTGATATTGGCACCAGTCAAGATTCGGTTGACTCTCTCAGAAACGCCTTTGACATATGGAATACATGCATAGCCTTTGGGTTCAGTAACAGAGGTTGGTTTGTTCGAACTTTCGGGTTTACTTGCAACACTGTTTATAAAAGCAGATGTGTAACCATTTACACTTAAGGCCTTTCGAACATTTTGTTTCTCAGCTTATAGCTATTCCTTCGACTTCTTATTATGCAAGAAGTCGAAGGAATAGCTATAACGACATCGCCAGTTGACTTGAAATGGTGGAAACGTTATGTAGACGACTCCAATTCTTGTCTAAAACGTTGCTGCGTTCAAAGTTTTCACGACCATTTGAATTCGATAAATCCATGTATTCAATTCACCATTGAGTTACCTACGACTGTGGGCGATAATGACGTCATTTCGTTCCTGGATACGGAAGTTGTTGTCAGACCAAGCGGAAACGTGGTGGTGGCAGTACACAGAAAAGCTACACATACGGACAAATATTTATCATTCAACTCACACAATCCAAAACAACACAAAGCTACAGTGGTTAAAACGTTGCTTGATCGAGCTGATAAAATTCCGAATACTATCCAGGGGAAAAAAGCTGAGAAACAAAATGTTCGAAAGGCCTTAAGTGTAAATGGTTACACATCTGCTTTTATAAACAGTGTTGCAAGTAAACCCGAAAGTTCGAACAAACCAACCTCTGTTACTGAACCCAAAGGCTATGCATGTATTCCATATGTCAAAGGCGTTTCTGAGAGAGTCAACCGAATCTTGACTGGTGCCAATATCAGAACAGCGTATAAGCCACTAACAACATTGGGCGGAATATTCAAAAAACCGAAAGACAGACCATCAGAAACTCAAGTCAAAGGCATTGTTTACAAATTCAAATGTAAAACATGTAATTTCCTTTACATTGGAGAAAGTAAAAGATCATGGAAATCCCGTTGGGCTGAACATAAACCGGGAACAGGACCGCAGATTGAGTCGGCTATAAAGGAACATGCAGAACGAACTGGACACGAAGTATGCTCTGGGGATGTAGAAATTTTAGAGAGGGGCATACATAATTATGATAAACGTATATTTCTCGAGTCATTACACTCAACAAAGGAGACAATGGCAGTTAATGAGCGTAAAATTTTCCCGCAAACTTATTTGCCTTTGTTGCATACCTTGTAAAATTTGCATATGCTAAGTATTTAAAACTTGTTCAAATCAACTTGACATTAGTTAACTCTGAGGAAGGTCGCAGTTAGCGACCGAAAATTCAGTATACTTTTTTATCTTTTTAATTGTATATAATAGATCAGTTGCAACAATAAACGAAAACATATATATATATATATATATATATATATATATATATATATATATATATATATATATATATATATAGACTGTTCCACCAACAGAAGTAATCGACTATAATCGACTGTTCCACCAACAGAAGTAATCTGTTTCCGCTATTTGTTGAACAAAGAGCTCTTGCCCTTCGTTTTGCACAGTTATCAACACGGAAAAACAAAGTTCATTAATTGCCGCATGTTGGCAAGGATGTCTCTGTAGTTCATCACCCCCACAGGTACATCAGTTATTATTAGTTATACTCATTTACACATGCAGCAATGAAATTATTTAGAGTATTTTGTTTCAAATTTGACCGCACTAACAGACGTGATATTTTAAAAATACCAGTATACGCTCGAGTTGAGTTCGAGGTTGGTTTTTGGTTTATAAGACTTGAAAAATAATTTGGAAGATTTTCGTATATTTCTAGTTTATTTCTAGTTTATATATCCTACAACA